AAGATGACGAAACATATGCATGTTTATAAAATCATAAATATATATATATTACATGTGTGAAAATTTTAGAATTTGAAATATTCAGTTTCTTTAAAACCGAATTTCTTTAGATTTGGAATACAAGAATATTCTATCATTGGAAGAGGACCACACATTAAAACTATAGATTCAGAATCAGATGATGGTGGATATAAATTATCACGAATCATTTGCTCGCAAACGAATCCTTTACCATATTTCCAATCTTTAGTAGGATTATCCAATGTATAAAATATTTTAATATTTGGATGTTTGGATGTTATCTCATCTAATTCTTTTCTTAATAAAATGTCACCTTCAGTTTTGTTAGCATAGATTAATGCTAGTTCGGTGTTATCATCGTTATCATGTAAAACAGATTTGATAACTTGATAAATTGGTGTAATTCCTGAACCTCCAGCTATCATTGAAATCCTCTTACAACTGTGTAAAGTGGAACTCTTTCCGCTTTTGAGTTGATATTTACCAGCTCCACAGTATGAAAATGAACCAAGTGGTCCTTTGATTTCGATTGAATCGCCTATTGATAACGAATCAAGATATTGTGTCATTGCACCACCATCGGGAAATTTGGGATGTACATTTTTGAAGTAGACTTTAATTAGCAAATCAAAATAACCGGGTGGATCATTTGGAGTTGTGATTGGTGTATAAGCTCTTATTGTTGATTTGTTGTTGATATTTGCTCTTATGAATATATGTTTTCCTGGTGGCAAACCGAACAAATGTTTGTCACTCTGAAGTTTAAACCTATAAATACGTGTGTCATGACTAAGTACTTTAATTGAAAGTAAAGGACATTTGAGCCAAGTTTTTGGATCCAAAGCTAGTAGTAACTCTTCTTCTACTATTTTAGGTGCTGTTTCGATAGGTGCAATTGTTGTGGCAGTTGATATTGTTGCATCTGGTATTATCGCACTATTTTCTGATTGATCAAGATCGCCAATGTAAAATTGTTTTATTAAATTTTTAGCTTTGTCAGAATGAATTGCCGTGAATTCTTCGGTACAGTCACTACCAGCATTGATGAGAATACTATCCAAACCACCAGGATGATCATTAAGGTATTTTGAACAATCATAAACTTTATTCTCAACTATAATCCAACAATCATCCTCCTCTGTGTGTTTTTCTACTTCAGATGCTTTGATCAATTTATTATTATTATTATTATCATCGCTAGCTTTAATTTCTTTAATAGCTGATGAAGGTGAAGGTGAAGATGGTTGTTGCGATTCTGATTTCTTTACCATCCAACCACCAGGATTGGGCCCGGCTTGTGTTGGATGTTCAAATTTCAAAGCAACATCTCTACCCTTGACAATAATGTGAATCTTGACTCTAAAATAACAATTATTCATCATTCCCATGACATTCCAAGTTAGGTGAGATGGTTGGGTGTTATTTGAACAATCCCAAGCACGTACAATGATTTCCTTGGACTCGATTAATTTATGAACAGGTACTGAGAATGACCAAAAAATCCAACACCAATAATTACGAAGTGGTCTCTGACGTCTATTGACGACCGCAGAATGATTAAGTTCAGGATGCTCTAAATCGGTTAATGACCAAGTTTTGCCATCATCCAAACTAATCTCCACACGTGTAACTTTACGACCTCCACCACTATATGCATAACCTTTTAGCTTGTATTCGGAATCGCTTTTGAAACTTGAGATTGATAATGTTTCGTCATGATCAGGTGATACAACTGCAGAATTGATGTTTAGCTCGTTGATGATATAATCAGGTTTGTACCACCAACCTTCTTTGGTTGCACGTTCAGCATCAACGTTTGGTGGCAGGACACGATTGTCGTTATAGTGGTAGTAGTTGTTTGATTCTTTGTTTGTGATGGTAATTCTGTTGAGCCATTTGACCATACGACCACCAATAACACCTGGGATTATTACACGTAACGGGTAACCATGATCAGGGGATAAGATTTCACCGTTCATCTGATAAGCCAACAAGACATCTTTTGCTTCATTCATTGACCAATCCAAAGGTAAACTTGTACCATAGTAATCGTTTGGTAGAAGGTCAGCGCCAACGAAACAAACATGACGTTCCTCACCGTAATCAGCATCAAGGCTCAAACCAACCATTTTCAAGATGTAACTAAGCGATACACCACGCCAGACAGCAGTGGAGACAGCAGCAGCGCCCCAATTGAAACCAATCGATTGCTTGACCATGTTTTGTTCTTTACGACGATTACCGGCGCAAACCAAAGTAACGGGAAATTCACGATAGGGCAATTTAACAATATCGTCCATTGATAAAGTAAGTTGTTTGGATACCAACCTGAGCGAATGAATGAATGAGATATATTTGAATTAGTAAATAAATAATGTTAATTAAAGATACTTTTACGTTACCCTTTAAATAAATAACTTATTGTTGAATAAATAATAATTACCCGTCAATGATTAATCGGTGAGTTTTCCAATCAAGTTTAGGAACAGGACCATGATTTCTTACATAATGTAGATCATTTGGGGTGATGAAACCTTGTTCCAATAGTAAAGGAACAGGTGGTTCACAGTTGAAAGGATGTTTTCCTGTCAATCGTATTAATTTAGGGTTTCTTGGAATCCAGTTATCACGAGTGTTGGAGTCTCTTGTGTCAATTCCAAATCTTTTCATATAATTATTAATTACAGGAGATAATTTTTGATCTGTTTCGTCATCTTTAAGTTCGTTGATTTGTATAGATGTGGATGTAGAAGTAGGTTTTGAAAGGGTTTTAGGGGTGGAATTATTAGGGGTGGGTATGGAGTCATTAGAAATGGTTTTTTCGTTTTGAAACATATTATCATTTAAGATTTGCTGTGTTGCAACAGAGGCAGCCATATTTATTATTTTATTATTATTAACAAAAATGAATTTTTGATTTTTTTTATAAAAAAATCAAATTATTTTTTGACTTTTTTATTATTATTGAAAAAAAAAAGATAAAAAAAATTTTCCCTCGTTTTTATAAATGACAAATAATTTTGATCAATAAGATTTGATGATAAATAAAAAAAATACAATCAAGATTGATCAGGGCAATAAACGAGGAAGGGGACAACATCGATATTGGAAATTTTTTATTTGCGTGAATCAATTATTTGTTATTGTATGATAGCGGCTGAACGACGACTCGGGGTTGGTTTGATCCGAGTTGAAAATATTCAAATAAGGTTAATTAAAATAAGTGATAAGGAATATGCATTTAATTTTAATTCTTTTTTCGCATTCATTTTCATTCTTATCAAATTAATTAACTACCAAACGGGGTTATCTTTTATTTATTCGCGCAAAATAAGAAAACAACAATTAATCTTTTCCATAAAAGTATAATACAACAGATCCGAAAGTAAGCATAATCACTACGAGAAGATGTGTTTTGCTAAGCAATAACACCATTTTCCATTGTTAAATAATCAGCAAAAATGAGCAAATGTTGCAGTAATTGTTGAAGGATCAAACTTTTTTTCATCCATTTCATCAAACACTTTTCTAATTGATTTTAATTCATCCTGCTGTTCTTTTGGATAATCCCCATAATAAAGTGATTCAACCCAAATCCCAATAAACTTATCAATTTCTTTGGCAGTTGGACGTTTATCTGGATTAGCATCCATGCATCTTAATGCTAATTCAATATAAAATCTTGGAGTGTTGTTTGAAAATCCAGGTCTTACACCTTCACATATTTTCATTGCAAGGCCAAAATCATGTGCAAAATTATTAAAAGGTTGTTGACCGGTTGATACTACAGACATCAGAACTCCAAAACTATATATCTGATGCTTTTGTATATAATTTCTCTCTTAAAACTTCTGGTGCAACATATGGTAGTACTCCAAATATATCATTTTTGTTTGATGCAGATGCTTGACTAGCTGGGCATGACAATCCCAAGTCTGTAATATACGAACCCCATTTACCCTTTTGAAGAATATTACCACTATGAAGATCATGATGAATAATTTCCTCTTTATGAATATCTATTAAACATCTAATGATGTTGTAAAGAATATTAATTTTGTCATGCCATGTTAAATTTTTAAAACTTCCAGTTAGATAACTTTGATGACTTCCATCTTTTATGTATTCCATTACAAATATATATTCCTTTGTAATTGGATCTTGTGATAATCCATAAATATGAATTATATCTGTATTATTATAAAATTTTGAACCAAAATAACAAATAAATATTTAATTACAATAATAATAATCAATAATATTTTAAAAACAATTTACCTCGTTAAGAAACTCATCAAAAGTATTCTGTGAATTATGTAGTTTTTTTAATGCCACAAGCATATCTTTACTAGTTCTTTCATTATTTTCACGATTTACACTTTTACCACCATTTAACCAAGTAGCTTTGGATATAGTTGAAAACCCACCTTCACCTATCTTTTCAATATTTGTTAAATCATTATAAGGAATCCATTGAAGATGGTTACTATAATGATACTTATGTGATTTAAGTTGCGTACTTTTAATCAACTCATCTAACATTTCATTGCCACTAGTCCATCCTTCAGTTAATAGCTTTGGATCACATGATTGACACCATGCC